GAGAGATAACCTATGCTTTGAGAACGTCTTGAAATCAGGTTAGTTTTTTTAGTCTTCGATATATCTGCGTAATTTCTGATACTCCGAAACCCCTGCTCCGAAACTAGACACAGCATTGAGGGCCCACTTACTACGGTTCGTCGCGACACGCGACTTTTGGAGGGCGCCCGCGCCGCGTCCAGATTTCATCATATAAAAGCCATACAAGCCGCACTATCGACTGGCCCTGCGACTGTCTTAAGGCTCGAAAACATTCTTCAAACATGATCTTACGACATTAATCTGGAAATTGACAACTGACGAGGTGGCCGAGTGGTTAAGGCGTTGGACTGCTAATCCAATGTGCTCTGCACGCGTGGGTTCGAATCCCATCCTCGTCGTTAGTATTATTTACATTTTTAGCGAGAGCACTGCGTACAAAGAACGTTTTGCCGAAATGGTAAATATTCGGTTTTCATTGCTTTTGATCTTGTTGCCCAAAATGTCTTTAAGATCAGAATTTTACTGAAAATGATAACACCCTTGGGGGCGTTTTTAATGAAACAATTACCTTTCACTGGCTATGTTGAACATGAGCTGGCTATAGCCAACTCGGTACTACGCGCCTCGTTGGCTATCTAGCATCTCATATCCAACGCGCGCTCGTTGAATAATAGGCAATATTCGTATTGCCGGTATTGGACTGGAACTAGCTTGCAACTGAGGCTAATGCTTGGAAGTCTTTTCAAATGAAATGACATTAATCTCTTTTTAATGATATAGGCCCTTTGTAGGATCCGGTCACATGGTATGGAAATAATCATGCTTGGACGCAAGTTACACAGTGGGACTTTCAAAATAAAGGAACTCGTACCAGTCCAGCCCGACTTTACTTTGTCTTGAAAGTCCCACTGTGTAACTTGCGTCCCAGCATAATTAATTCCATACCATGTGACCGGATCCTGCAAAGGGCCTATTCCCCCGCACGAGCCTCAATTGCAAGCTAGTTCCAGTCCAATACCGAGAATACGAATATGGTCTATCGTTAATTAACATACAATGGTTCTTTTTCTTAAATGCGGTCAAGTAAATTTCTATGAAGTAAATTTCCAGATACAACCTACTGTCTGACAACGTATTGAAATCAGGTTAGTTTTTATTAGTCTTTTGATATATCTGTGTAATTTCTGATACTCCAAGACTAGAGGCCGAATTGGTACGGTTTGTCGCGAGACGCGACTTTTGGAGCGCGCCCGCGCCCTGCCTGTGTAATGCAGAAGTCATAAACAATTCACTATCAACTAGCCCTGCGATTGTCGGAAGGTTCCAAAACATGCTTTAAACATGATCCTTCGTCACCTGAAAATTGACAACTGACGAGGTGGCCGAGTGGTTAAGGCGTTGGACTGCTAATCCAATGTGCTCTGCACGCGTGGGTTCGAATCCCATCCTCGTCGTCAGTGTTGTTTACATTTTTAGCGAAAGCACTCCGTACGGAAAACGTTTTGCCGAAATTTTAAAGTTGAGTTATTAACCACTTTTAAATCTTTCCATCCCTTTTTTTAATTGCTAACGAGCAAGCCGAGCAAAGACGCTTGGCTGGCGAGGCGGCAGAGAATAGTGCCATGCGAAGAATGCTGTATGCAGAAGAATTTCCGATCGAGCTATGAAAGTGTAAGTGTAAGTATGAGGTATAAGGTTGTCCTCGGTTTCAGCCAATTGCAAAGACGGAACTATTCGAGCCAATGAAAGGACGTGTTAGATTGTAGTTTTTAGCCAATCAGGAGGCGGTACAT